CGAAAGACAGGAAAGGCCGCCATGAGTGTTCTGACGGACTATCTTTTGTGGAGACTACTGCAAGACCTGTTTAAGCTCGCAATGTAGCTTTGTACACAGAGAATTGGACGCGCCTGTGGCTTCCAGCTCCTTCTCGAAGAAAGAGAGGCCCCAATCAAAGCGGAAGCTGGGCCGACCAATGACCACGCTGTAGATAATCATAACCTTCGCAGCACTGTGCAAGGATATGCGCTGATTCTACACAGCACAGCGCTGAGCCACCCGCTGGCTCGCCCTCCACTGGCTGCGGCGTAGCAGAGCCCGCGCGGAGGTCTGCGCAACATGCTGATCTCATGAAGGCTTTCTGTAAGAAATAGCTCGCCCGCCTGGCAAGGAGAGGGTCTGGGCCATGCGCTGGCCGTCCCTCGCTTCCTTCGCCTGCAGCTTCCGCATCCGGGAGTTGTCCAGGGTCCCCCATCGCAGGATGCGCGGAAGGGTCTGCTGCGCGTCTGACCTCAGGCACTTAGTCATGCGCGTCTGACTCATGCAGCTGTGAGACCAACGCCCGTCCTCCAGGCTTGGTGGATTGATGTCTGCACCTTCGCTGCAGTCCTCAAATCTCTTCATACAATTCGGGCACATGACTACCTCTGCTGAACCAAGCCCTTCTACGCCTTTTGGCTCAGCTCGTACAGACACTGCGTGCACATGCCAGGCAATGTAACTATGCTGAGCTTTCCAGTTTAACAGAATGTTGCGGCAGGTGTCGGCGCAGTTTCGGCGATCCGCTTCAGAAGCTTTCCAGGGATAGCGGCTGCAAGAAGTTTTTCAGGTCCTTAGTAGAAGTTGAGCGCTTCCAGACAGAACTCTCGCCCTTTTTATGCTGAGGCCAGATCTGAGACTATCAGAGCTGCAGAAAGTTATGCTGGGAGCTGGCATGAGGCCATCCACAACCGTCCAACCGACCTTACGTGTCACATTTTGCATCCTTTGTCTGAAGCACTTGGTGAATCGGTCAAGGCCAAGCCGGCTACGTGAGGTGGGAGCAAGTTATCTCGGCTGTGTAGGCTGGGAGCCACCTTTCAATCTCCGCATCCGCAACTCAGCACAGCAAACGCATGAGCCCACCTCGTAAAGCGTGATTGAGTTGGGGTTCCATCGTAGTTTCGCTGGCGAGAAGGTGTAGACCCCAGAGCTTATCGCGTCCTCGCTTGGAGCCTGGCAGGCGCCAGCAATCATACTGTCCCACTTTGAACATCTTTGAACACAGTGCAAAGTGCGAAGGCATGGAGTCATGGAGGAAAACCTGAGCCCTCGCGGACCGAAGGTTCGAGCGCATGAAGGTGCACTTGACCCCTCTTGATCTTGCCTTGTCCCTCTCGCCTCTCCGACCGTTCAGATTGATGAGGCTCCAGTTCAGGTCCTCACCTGGACGGGTCGTGCACTGATGCGCGTCACAAAACTCGAAAGCTGCGAAGCAGTAACAGCCTCTCTTGAACACCACTAGGCAGGTTCCACGCTTCTGGAAGACCTCCGTGTTGGCCACCTTCTGAATCTACTTAGTCTGCTCAGTCAGGCTCATGCTCCGTCATGGATACAGGCAGGGGCTGGCGACTCAAGGCGGACAATTGATGCTGCTAGGAGCCGACTGATGGCAGCACAACCCTGATTTCGACTTCCACAGCTGGGGCCCAATTACGAACTGCCCAGGATAGGAATATGTGGACACTCGCACCTGACGGAGCGCTTCAGTCAAGCCAAGTCATTCCTCCGCTTTTCCTCCCAGCCCTCTTAAAAAGCTACCTTCTCCTGAGAGAAGTGCATTCCAGCCCCCTTCCCTAGGGTTGGGCTTCTCCTGGACTTCCTGGCCACTCCTTTGGCGTTACAACTTATTTTCAGGAACTGCCACGTCCCACATCTCAAGCAAAAAGGTTTTGGTGCAGTAGTCGAAGTTTGCAGTTCTTGCATCCGAGGCAGATCCCAAAATCACCTCGCGCACCGAGGTTCGTCTTGCTGACGTCGCCCCCAGAATGGGAAGAATGATAGGAATGATAACAGTAGTAAGAAGACGAATAGTAAGAATAAGAAGTAGAGATCATAACCATGACAGTAAGAATAGTAATATTATGAATAGGAAAAGTGATAGTAATGTCTTCGGCTTCAAGGCACCTTGAAGCCAGTTCTGACGTAGACGCCATTGGCTTCCCCAGACCCAGCACCATCGACGCAGATGCCAGGAGCACTGTCTGGCCTAAGCTTTGCCAGAGGGAACTGCGCAGAAGCATGACTTCGGAAGACTCAAAATAGAGTCTAGGGTTTAGGGTTGGGAATAAGGGAATATACCCTGAACCCTAGACTCTAATTCCCGACTAACCTAGGGACTTGCGTAATCTTCCATGTCCACTGCAACTCACGATCCCAAGGGCCAGACAAGTTGTGGCGTTCAAGCGGCTCGTTGCGGATCAAAGCGCGCATTGGCTGTAGCTAATCCCGAGATAAGCGGTTACATGCGGGACTACTGTAGGCTTGGGGTTTAGGGTTTAGGGCTTAGGGCTTACGGGTGTGATACAATGAGTCATATTGTACCAGAGTGCTGCCGTTATGTCCTCAATTCCGAGCTTGGCTGTACATTCATAGGATGCTAGTTGCATGATGCCAGATGCAAAGATATCTTTCCTGTCTTGGAGCTCCCGCGTCACCTTGGCTTTGCAAAGAGCAGCTTTCCAGGTCAAGAGCATGCTAGGGTTGGGGTTACATGTAATATGCGTAAGAGAGTAGCTTCCATTTTCCCATGATCCCTATGTGAACCCTACATTCCCATAGATATCCCTAAACCCTATATCCGTTTATGGGTTCGCACTCTCAAGTCCAAGCGGCCTTAGGTGTCGCGGCTGTGCTACTGCGTTAACCTTCGACATAGCGCAGGCAGCGCAGCGGTCAATCTTGCAAGGATGATAACTCTCTTGGCACGTGGTCTGAAGTTGGGAGCAGTTTGCATCATGATGGTTTCACCCTGCGTCTAGTGAGTCTACAGCCTGCTGGCCAAATATCTGAATATGCCGGAGCGGCTTCCTCATTTTCACTCTGCTCACTTGCTTTTCCATGAATGTACTACAGCATTCAGGGCAGATTTTGAGCCAGACCAAGCGTCGTCGTTCCGTGGTTCCAGCAGATCTGCGACCCACAAAACTGGGAAGCTGAAAGGCCCAAGTACGTCCACACTGCGAGCTGGGTGTGAGCATGACAGGGCACCCCTCCATCGGGCAAAAGGAAGCACAGCCTCCCTCGCGCATGGTGGAGCCTCAAGGTCAGAATCTCCCTTCACTCATGAAGTTGCTCGGTCGAGTCTGGCGTCTCTCATGATTTCTCTAAGACCTCGACCTCTGAAGCTAACATCAGCGCAGCTGGAGCTTTCTAGCTTTGCCGGGACTGGCATAAGCTAAATCTTAGCTACACTATCGAGCGCTGAAGGATTGAGAAGCCATGTCATACATGCCTTCCCGCTGTTTTCACGGGGCTCATGAGTCATCAACCTAATCAGCCTTGTTTCAAAGCACAGTGCCGTGTGTGTGGCATGGCACATACATAAGCCTTGCTTAACAATGCTGCACACTGGAGCATGGATGCTGCTGTAGTTTCTAGCTTTTGCAACTTGGCAAGGCTCGGGCCACAAGTCATCTAGACACGCGTGGGACTCGTGCGATGCAGAATCTGATTGCGGTGTCCACAGCTACCGCGCCCAGCGGGAAGCATCTGTCCAGATTAACATTTGCCAGCCACTCGGCAAACCACTGCAAACTCCACTGCAATGACACGACATGCAATCCCTTCTTAGGCTGCATGTACGCAGTTCAGCGTTAACATACTGCACGACAAACCGTCATTGTACAGTCTCAAGACAATTACACTGCCGGCGTTTCAGGCACAGCAGGCGCAGGCTTGAGCAAGCACTCCTCCTGCGTGGCACTTTCACAGCAGCGCCTTTTGAAATAATGCCTCCAATTCCAATGCAAACGGAACGTGTCACAAGGACAGGGAATGCTACTTTATGAAAGAAAGACCACAGCCACTGACCCTTCCTGTGACATATATACGCGGCATCTGCACTGCTGGAATTAAGATTTGCGCTTCGATAGATTTCGAAAGCAGGCCGAAGAAACACCAAGTGTTCAGTTTTGAATGCATGCTTCCCGATCCTCGGAATACAATGCGCGGTTGAGACACAGCGTATTCAAATCTGTGCAAAGAAACCCTCGGCGCTTGCCAGCCAACCAACAAATGCCAACCAGCCAGTGTGGATGTGCTGGCCAATAACAGGACAAGAGTTCTGCGACACTCTCAAAATGCTATCGTGATCTATCGTGATGACATAGTTGCCGTCATATTGTGGAAGCAAAGTCTCTCCTCGATCAGGCTCCGCCAGGTCTGCCCTCAGCTGTTGCGGGATATTGGTTGTTGTTGGCTATCTGCAGTGCCATGAATTAGTCCTCATTGATCCTCATTATGATTAGTAGCAATAGCACCGTGATTGCTACTGCTCGTCGTGTGGTCATACTTATCCAACCAGCAGAAAGCAGCAGTACTGCTTTCGCAACTGCTGCCGCTACTGCTGCTGCAGCTACTCGATTGCTGCTGTTTTCAGTAATGGTTGTTCCATGGACAAAGTCCTGAGATCACGGCCAGGTGCGCAGGACAGGTGGCCGCTTTGTTTCAAATGTTTGCGGCACGCCTTGTCAATTTGGCTGTGAAGTGGCCAATAGTTGGGCAAGGCCAAAGCTGCCCACCTTCGCGCGCACGAAAACCTGAGCAAATATGAAAAAATCTTGCTACTACCATCTGCTAAGACGCCGTCTGTGAAGGCTTGTATTCAAAAGCTGCCCAGCTTTGGCGCCGCCGGCGTGATTGCTGCTACGACCCCGTTCATTTTGAACGGAGCACGGCCTTCCCCCAGAAGGTGGAACGGAAAACAGCATGCCATCCATGGCATAAATTTTTGGCGAGGATTTTCCTCTCCACTGCTGTCAGCAAATTGCCATCCCAGGCGACTCATTCTGGATAGGGACGCGGCTGGGGAATGAGCTGCCTAGGACTCGAATATCTTGCAAACCGACAGGCTGACTGTAGACAGCACTGCTGTGCTTTTCAGCGCCCGGCGTGGCTTGAGAGTCAGAGCGCCAAGATCTGTCAGCACCATGGCCACAGGCTCCCGTGTTGTCTGATCTTGCCTGACATCTCTACACCTTCCCCTTTGCCCCAGACTGTGCTCGTACTAGGAACACGCAGCTGCATCGGGCCTTTGCCCATCAAGTGCGCACTTTGGGCACAGGAGCTGTCCCCACTTCTGCGTGACGTCGAAGAGCTGCGTCATTGAAAATCGGGATGTCGGTGTAGCGAACGCTGTGTCCTTGGCCAGCCGATTCAAATGCAGCACTGAGCAGCACAGGTCATCTCTATAAGGACAGCCGTGACCGGATGTACTTGCAGAAAGAAACATGCCACACAGCGTCTTGGCGATGCAGCTCCACCCAAGAAAAACCATCCACGGATGCCTCCAGAAGCCACTGAACCTCATACATCCTCACACTGTGCAAGGCCATGGGGCTGCATCATGTTGACACATCAATGCTTCGCGAGCTTGCGGAATGCGATGCGCTACCACAGCCCAAACACGATGACTAATTGCAACTGGCTGCAGGGTCGCGGGACGGCATGTCATCACCAGTCGTGAAGCCAAACAGGAAAGGTCCATCGTGCGGAAGATGTGAGAAATCCATGGCCTCGTCTCACTCCGATGGGAAACGAGAGACTGCAGAAGTATCAGCAGCAGCAGCAGCAGCAGCAGCAGCAGCTGCACCATACAGTGTTGGAGGCATTCGGCATATTATAGCAAGAAGAACGCAGGCATGCAATTGGCGCCTGTGCCCCTTGCGCTGGTTCAAGTTCAAAAGCAAGCCAAATCAGCAGTGCTGTACAGGCATGTACTACTACAGTAGAAGCTGAGGAGAGGACAAGCGTCACGTTCGGCTCAGATGAGACCCACCACTTTGTTCTCAAATTTCCATCTACCGCATTCCGGGGTCCTGAAGGAGTCTGCATGGGTGAGCTTCAGCTGCATTCCAAAACGCGGGAAGGCTCATGTCTCCTTGGTAGGGAGGCCCAACTCCAGCGGTACAGGCCACGTTGGATGCAGTCGGCTGGACTGGCTTGCCTGGTCACTTTGGAGTTGCACGAAGGCCACAAGAGGCTCAGCTCTGGCTCAGCTCTGGCTCAGCTCCGCCTGCACGCCAGAGCAAGAACTCGGACAATTGCACACCTTGCGGCAGGCGCTCGTCACCGCCGCCACGCGTGGCAGTAACCGTGAAGCGGACTTTGACGCTCCTGGTGCAGGCGACTGGATCAAACAGGCTCCTGAGGTCCTGGCTGGTTCAATCAACAAGCTGGATGCGCTCTGCGCGATTCGTGTGTCCTTTGGTGTGGAAGTTGCTGGATCCACGGCCCACCTGTGGCTTCCAGTCGCAGGCTGCCGTGCACCACGTGCGCTGCTTTGAGGGCACCCTGAGATGGTTCCAAGAGCGAGGCCCGGCTTGAGACAGGGTTTCCGTTTTGGGGATGTCATCATAAATCTGAAAAGTTGTATAGGGCCGCATGTACACAGATCTTGTACAAAAAGCTAGTCCGGCGGTCTGGAGTTGACCTGTCTTTTCTCCTGCGTCAATGTTGCATTGCAGGGCCTATAAGCACTCCTCAAGTCCAATAGTTCCAATAGGGCAACAGTACAAGCGCAACTTTAGACAGCCCGAAGCTGGCAGAGGGAAAGAGTTCCTTGGGAGAAAGAAGCCCTCGCCAGGCCAAGTTCGTAAGTAATAAAAGGCACTCCTCAAGGAATACCCAGGAATACAGGATTTATGCCCGGAGTATCCCCAGAAGAAGACTCAAAAAGGGCATGCCGGCCGGCAACTAAAACCAAGCCACTGGAATGATATATGCGTGTGTATGTTGTTGCTCAAGATTAGGGTAGATACAAGCCAAGACTCGATTAACTGAATTCCTTTCGCAGGGCTTGCCCAGCGCGTTCTCAAGCTCGCCTGAAACAGGTCAGATTCTGCCTGCTCAGATATGAAATGCACCGCAGCAGGGTTCAATACGACAAGCGGCGGTCTCCAAGACTTCCAGCTGGTCTGCTTGTAAAACCGCAACATACCCATCCTGACAATCCAAGCTTGCTGCATTCGGATAGAAACAAATCTCAATATCTTCTTCAATGAGTATAAATGGAAACAAAAATGAGAGCCGAGCTGCAGAAGGGCTTGTAAGCCACTCTCCAGGCGCCAACCACTCACCCGGCTCTAGGCTCGTGCAGCGCCGATGCGAGCCGCAGCCGCTGGAGGGCCCTGTGAGCTGCGTAGCTGCATGCGCCTCCTCTGCCGCCTCTGCAGCGCAAATGCCCAGGACGGCAGCTAGACGCTGGAGCATCGCGGTCACCCGGGAGCCATGGGCGAAGTCCGCTGCTGCAGTACTGCTTCGAAATTTGAAGCACACTTACAGCTTTTATTACACTTCTGCTGCAACTAGCGGCAAGCAGAGCGCCAAGTGTAGCTCGTGAGGGCAGAAAGTGTCCAAGCGCACAACTGCATTGAATGCTGCAGTTTTGCAAGCAAATCAGGCCCACGACTTCAGTATCAGTCTATAACGTTGCCTTACTTCTGCCAACGCCGCACGTACCCATTGCCTTGAGAAACCTTACACCGGATTCGGCATCAACATGGATTGCTCTTACTGTAGGGTCCAGGAATGCGTCTGGAGACTGTGTGGAGTGGTCAGAGCATTGGGGTCATGCTCGCGTCGCCAGAACACTGTCAAGTAGCACCCCAGAACACGCAAGATGCAAAGTGCATTGAATGGTAGTGCATGGAGCTGGGACCATCAAACAGGACCAGTCCTGCCTCCTGGCATACGGGGCACTGGAACTTCGGCGATTTGAGTCCGGTCCTTCTGAACAGGAATGTCTGCCTAGCCTTTGACTCCCCTTAAGTTTTGAAAAGCAACACATGCTCGCAATCCACGACGACGTCCTGGCCCTCTTCCGTTCACGCTTGGTGATTACATCAGGATCAGTGCTAAGCTCCTGGGAGCAGACAGCCAGCATACCACATGTCGAACTCCTTGCTACTAGCCCGGAGTGGTTGTTGAAAATTCTGGGTGCTATGCAAGTGGTCGCAGAAAATCGACGAAGCCCGTCTCCTGACAACGGCTCTCAACATGCCATCTTGCTTCCACCCACACGCATGAAAGCAGAGCAAGCTGCCTCACCCGCAAGTAGGACCTCTGCCCAGGTGGCCTTTGCACTTGCCACGAAGGTCTTGCAAGGCATGTGTCCAGACTAAGCAGCAAAACTGCCACTCACATCACTGCTGACTTGACAAGGAGTACATCACAATGCATGCGATACAATCGATTTATTTCTTTGAGGTGCGCAATGTGGCGTATCAGGTTTGGGACCTACTGCGAACGCTCAGTGCTCAGCAGATCGCATGTGTAGTGCTTACTCTATGATGTCTTGTGAAAACTAGAGGACGTGGGATGGAGAAAAAAGTCAAAGGAGTGGGCAAGGTGAAGTCGAGGTGACTCATTGATTGCCGCACGTGGCCGACACTGTCAGCGCAAGGTCTAGGGTGTAGGTCTAGATCGAAGATGGAGGACTAGGGTTCAGGTCCCTGCATGCGGGTGCTGAGACGACATTTATTGATGAGAGGATCGGAACAGCGTAGGGCTGCAGGGAAGGGTCTCGCGTCTACTGGTTTCTTCGAAGAAGTCTGACGCTCATCTTAGCATTATTGGTATTAGAGAAGGGGGCTTGGGGGGTTGAAGGACCGATCCCTATGGATCAATCTTCCCAATCATGGGGACACTGGGGGGTGTCTACCCCTAGAATGGATTCAATCAATCTCTTCCGGGAGGTAAAAGGGGTAGCCCGAAACAAACTGCCCCGAGTTTGCTGCTAATCCAACAAAGGGATTCAACGACAACGTTACAACAGCTACCTCCAGCTCCAAAAGAGGATAAGCATGATAAGCTCTGGTTCACGACCCTGAGCATCCTAGAGCGATCAAGGCAAATAGCGACAGTACCTGTAGTGCCATTCAGTCTGGAGGTCAATCTAAGCGAAAAGGCCCTCGTACTGACACGTGCGGCGCACCTTCTTGGCCTTGTCCCGCCGCTTCACTCCGCGGACCTGCACACAGGTGGGCCGTGACATCGAATAGCGCTGAAGAGGCGCCACTTGGTTTCCGGCATGCGCCTCCTGACAGGACTGGCACTCACAACATTCAGCAAATAAGTCTGAAGCAACTGAGCTTAGGACAGACATGCGCATTTTCTGGTTGATGCTGGCGCTCTGGCGTTCGGAGGCCTGCTAGCCAGATGCCACAAGTGGGGCTTTCCCAAACTTAGGGGCACCTTTTTGGGGATCCCTACAATAAGGATTACAGCATATTGGGGTCTATATTGGGGTCTCCCATTTTTGGCAAGCTACCAAGTTGGACTGCCAGTGGCCATAGGGCTCACGCCTCGCTGACAACATCCAGGAGGCCCTCTAAGACTTTGGAGGGCATCTCGCCCTCGAACCTGTCCACGTCACGAGCAGTTCACGGAACCCAGGTGAGATCTATGGCTCACTATCACTATTTTGCAGACATGGGCTACTACACGAAATGGCAGATGTGCCCTTGCAAGCTGACAGTCTTATCGGTCTTATCGGCTTCGGCGCGGCATCATCCATGGTCCGCGGCCTTTCTTTCTGAAGCTTTCGCGACTTGCTGCGGCTTCCTGCCTTGAACATGCAGTCTTGCACAGTGCCCTGGAAAGCGTCTGCCTTGAATGACGTTATCTCAGCTGCATGGGATCCCTGCGGACAGGCCCTCATCGCCCTCGTCTGACCTGGGTCCAGGAAGGATGGCATCAACCTCCCTTGAAACCGGACCACTGCACGTCCTGACTTGTGCCCACTTACGTCTCCATTTATTGGTCATTTGCGTTGCCGACCCACGGAGTCCTTGTTCGCACTGATCCAATGGGGAAGCTTTTAAAGGACACAGGAGCACCATGTCAGTATCCCAGTTGTGCTGGCGCTGCTTCCTTGTACAGGTGATGCTCAGGCGTGTATCATGAAGATGAGATGCGCATATCGGAGTGTTTTGGAGTTTCTGAGGTAGACTTGAAGAGAGTTCTGTGGGTCTTTCAGCTGCGGCCACGTGCATGTAGGCAGGAACGCATTGTTTCTCTGACTCGTCAAGAGCTGTGAGTTTGTCGGGCGGCTGGCTCCACGCAAAACTTGGCTCAGGGAGCGTTTATCTTCAACGGGGAAAGAAGCAGATAAACTGCTTGAAAATGTTTAAGACGTTGCCTATCTTGTTTGTAGGCATGATGGGACAGGAAGCAAAACCAGGCCGCTTCAAAAGTCAGCCCAACTGTTCCCCACCTTCTTGGGTGGTTTCAAGCACATCCAACAGACTTTGCGGCTCAAGAATTCAAAAAACACAAACAAAATGTAACTACTTATACTGATAGATTGCTAACCTTCAAAATGTTTAAAGAAAATCCAAGAATTCCAGGAATTCCCTGATATGCTAAATTCACAACCGCTTCACCTTCCGCAAGCATCTCAATCATTACAGACTCAGGCCACTTGAGATATAGCGAATACAGTCAGTAATACAGAGAAGCCCAAGTAAGGACACAGACGAAACCACCGACTCTAATTGCCAGCACACGGTGGCAAGGGGAAGGCCAAGTATATACACTGAAGCATATCTGCCATTCAACCCGTATTCAAGGAGTACAGTCAGTACGGTGACACGAGGGACATGTAGGTGGAAACACAGTTGGTATGTTACAATTATCCCTCTAGGCTTGACAACTCTGGGCATGCAGTTGCACTGGCAAACCCAGGTAGAGATCGTTTTTTCAGGTCTTGTGAATGGTAATCCTGCAAAAATCAAGGACGCGAGCGGCCCCCAAAGAGACTCTGCGGCCATACCTGAGCCCTCAGCGTGACTTTCATGGCCTCCTTGACACTCTTTCGCACGGCGCACATGGCCTTCATCCCAAAACCCATACATTACAAGCCTGCCACGCGCGAGCCAGCTGCTCCGTGCCTCCAGCGCCGCCTCCATGGGGACGCCCGCGCCGTCACCGCGGTCATCACCCAAAAGACTTAGCTCCCAGCCCCAGACCTCCCGAGATGTGCCGAGTGTTGGGCGGAAGATTGCACAGCTGATATGCCACGCGCCAAGTCAGGCCTTTATTGCAGTGATGTGGTCGGGCACCCCGGCCAAGTCTCCTGTTCAGAAGCAAAGGCAGCGGGATCCACGAGTTGTGAAAGGCACCTGCTGGTCCGCAGCCTAAACGCACGGACATCAAAGTTCGGTCCGGACCTTCCCAAGCCCCTACAGTATGAACGGGAATGAGCAACTGCAAGCACCAACGCAACGAAGCGATGAGATTCAAGCAGAGAGCAGCGATGGCGTACAGCACCTCTACCTCAGATTGTTGCGTGCAAGGCAAAGAAAGATCTCTTGCGGTGGTAGCCCGAGCACGTTGCTGCGTGGAAAATTGTCACCCCATTTGCACGCACAGTTGTCCTGGCCAATCCTATAATCCCTACATACACCACTTATATAATCCCTATAATGCCTGTAGTTTCCATTTTATTTTCCATGATACCAATATCTCCCCGATGTACTTTAATGTACAAGTTAAGGTATCACTTCCACTGCAGAAACCAATGCGCCCTGCCTGGAGCTCAACATCTGCAGGCTTGAGGCTGTGCCTAAGCAACATGCCCCAGTGCCATCTCCTTTTATCGCCTAGCGTCACAGAGCGTCACATGGCCATGCTGAAAAGAGATACCCTTGCACACCTTTGGCAGTCCTGATCTACCCTGTCAAACCACCCCACTATTAATGAAAGAGTGAAGAATGCGCCCCGCAGGGCATCACTCACAATGTCTAAGGCAAGGATTATTGTTGAATGTTTGCAAAGCAGCGGCCTGGCTCACAGAAGCTCATACAATATCATGCACTGCTAGGCCGGCCGCAGAAGAAATCATCCCCGGCATTCATGTGGCAGGGGAAACCTGAGTCTGCAACTGCGGAGCAGAACAACAAAACATACAGCAACATACAGGTTCAACTGCAAGGTCGAGGCCAACAGGATTGCGAGCTTCTAGCAACGCCCTCACCTGTTTCTGCTTCTCCTGATACAAGAGCAGTTAGCAAAACCTGCAAAATGTCGGGCTCCCACTGGAAGAGCTGCCCTTGCTATCCTCATCATTCCGGGTGTTGCGCTCTGGTAGGAAGAAGGTGATCTGGTACGGCGAGCTTGGCCGAGCCTGGTCTCACAAGATGTCCTTTGCCTTTGGAACTTAGGCTTAGGCGGCTCGAGTATGAGGATGTATGATGTGGTGAGATGTGGTAGTTTCCCTAAGTGCCCCATCAGGGACCCCAAAACACTTTAATCCTTGTAATAGGAGCTCCAAAAATGCACCCATAATTTTGCGAAACCCCCATGTTGCAAGATAGCAGAGGATGCGGCCACAACCTCCCCGTCGAAATCTACCAGGCGAGCACCTAGACTGAACCTCAGCCAACTGGGTTGCTATTGAGGCACTTGATTCAAGTTACTATATTGGGGAAAACCATATAAAATACTCTATATATATATATATCTATATACACCCATTCTGGTAACTTAATTTAAGTTCCTTAACAGCAACGCAGCCAAAGGTATGTCTGTCGGTTTAAGGCTGTTCGAGCTACCCTTTACTGCCACAAGGCAGGCCAAGGAGTTCAGGAAACCCAACCAGAACTCGGGACTATGGCGGCAAAACCAGGGGGAACGGCCCAGAGGAGGAACGCCGGGCAGCCTTTAACGGAGTCCGCGGGCAGCCCCGATGCAAGATGTTTGCGCATCGAGGCCATGAAGTCTCTTCCATTGAAGCATGCTTAAGCAAAACTAGCTTACGAAGGCAGTTTCCCACGAACCTTAGACGAAGCATGACGAAGCAAAGGCGCTCGGTCGAAGGTTCGGTGGTGGACAATGCAGGCCAAAATTAGACGAAGGGCCCCCCGCTGCTACTTCCCTTTGCGCAGTTCCCGCTGGTTTGCCCATGAGACTACGCCTCGAAAGCACTCAAGGGGCCTCTGAGGAAGCTTGAAACCAAAGTTGCAGCCCCAACGCACTCAGGCCACCACGCATGGCCAAGGCTCACAGATGTGCTGGCTCCGGCCAGGACAGATGGCTGGGCTGGGGCTGGGCCCAGCGGCAGGCTCAGCCTGTGACTAATGCGAAGCTGTGCCAAGGCGCACAAACTCTGAATCAAAACACCTCAGGACAAAACTCCTTGATGGTTTCTGCTGGGAAGCACACCTGACCGCATAGCGGCTAGGAAAAGTGGAGAGGTCAAAAGATGATGCAGGGGGCCAAGTTGATACTGACCACTCGTGAGACTGAGCTCGCAACAGCTGCAAATTCCGACTTTTTACCCTCCTGTGATGCAGCTGGCTTTTACTTGCATAATGCCTGGGACTAGGGCATACCAAAACACAAGTCCTTGGACACGAACTGCGGCGGTCGGCCACACAGCTGTGTCATCAGACCAGGCAACCTTGCAACGGAGCAGAGCATGATCAATGCATCCTACGGTACATGTTTCAAGCGCACTTAACATTGACTCGAGACTTGACTTCATCTGAGATCTTCGACAACATTCCAAGCTCAGGAATCAAGCCCAGGTGCTGGTCCATGTGAACGCTGCCCGGCGAATCCTGCAGGAGAGAAACGTGCAGAATCCTATATGACTCACCGTTTACGCTACAGTAGATGCAGCAAGTTACGCGACGTTACGTGCTCCTTCTGGGAAGTCTTGACCTTGACCACAAGGATGCGATGATGGTATCTCCTGCCCGTCACGGGCAGAGAGTTCACCGCCATCAGCATCTCGTTTCTCGCCTGCCATTTGCGAGAAGACTGCTGCTGTGGTTCTCAACGCAACAGCTCTGTGATATGTGATATTTGCCTTCTTCCAGGGAAGGCGACTCGCAGCGTCGTCTTCGTCCAGGATCAGAGGATCGCCTTGCTGTGCCACTGCCAAAACCAAGCTATGCACCACAACAGGCCCTGAGACTGTCAGCCAGGTCTCCTTCATCCTCGTCGTCCTCGAGCCCACCCTCTTCCGCATCGTCCTCCTCCTCCTCATCCTCCTCATCTTCCTCAGGCTCCTGCATGAATTATGTGCACAACTGCCCATCGAAGGATACAACGTGTATTGTGTCAACTCAACAGGACACAGCCTACAGAGCTGCTCACAGCTGGCCTCGTCATCATCTTCAAAGTCTTCAAACTCTTCCTCAAGATCCAGCTCTTCATCCTCATCGGCATAGATAGTTAAGCTTCCCTCGTCTACGGGATGACCAGCTTGGAGAGCCTTGGATTCATGCGGGCATGGAAGTGCATCTGTCTGCAAACACCTATAGCACATGGCCTCTTCCTCCTCGTCGCTCCCACGCGGCCCAGCCATGACAGAGAGCCCGCGGCTTCCACTCGCACGCTTGGCCGGAGCACGCAGCTGATCCATGAAGCGACGGCCAACCATCAGCTGCTCACCTTGGATCACTTTTGGCCTCTTTGACATTGATGTGGTACATCCGCATCCTGCAATTCTTCATGCCATGAGCACGCACATAAGGCTTGAACATCCTCCTGTTCGCAAGAAACGTTATTGCGGGGACTGAATGTGATCTGATGTCTGGAATTGCGAGGAGATCGCAATGGCGGGGAGTTTTGAGATGATTTCAAATAATTAATTGAGGTCTAGACTCTAGACAAAGGACTATTTACATCTGCATTGGTTCACTGAGACAACATCCTCCCTAAAATGAAAGTAAATTGAGCCGCGCGAGCTTGTGTCATTCGGGAGGATAGGATTCATGTTCCTACGAGGACAAAGGATTACTTGGCCCATCTCGTCTCCAGTCTGAACACGTTTGCCAACAGTGCTTTATGCCAGCAAGATGCAGAATGACGCAGCTAGCACAGCCCGAAGCCGTGGAGCTTCTGCGCGCAGCAGCCGTGCTGGATTTGGGCCCTCTCCGTGGAGGAAAGAGAGCAGCTGATCTTGGCAGGCACAACTTATTTATGTTTGTCCTGTTCCATCTGACAGGATAGAGAAGACGGCGACGAGATGTGACAAGCGTGTGCTGTCAAGATACCAAGGTCCCTCCGCGAGGCGGCAGCTGTTCGAGCTCCTCCCGGCAGCCGAAGACCAGAGCGGACTCGATGAGCCAGGTCTTCTACGTTGGCCACCAACTTCTGCAGCCTGCTCTGCGCATGGAACAACTTCTAGATTGTGATGCTGCCTCTCACTGGCTCGGTGCATGCCTACTGGCCTTCCTGGATGGACGTCAACCTCGTCTGCCAGTGAGCAGGCCGCCTGGTCCCAGCCCTTGCCACGCTTCGGACCTGCGAAGGAAAGGAAGCCACAGCGTCACAGGTAGCTTACCCCTGCTCTCATGCCTGAGTTGGATTTTGAAACTGCCCAGTACCGCGACGCCCATTGGCAGAACAATCTCAATAGCCTCGATTGGCAACATTGCGAAGATCTCGTGCAGCATGTCTCCAGACATTCTGCCCTCCAAGCCCTCCACATGATCGGCTCTGAGTAGTGGTTCCCATCAAATCGTCGCCGAGCCACCCAGGAGCGCCGCCTCGCTTAAGCAAAATTCGGCGAAGGCGAATTAGCTGAGTTCGCCGCGGCATTCATAGCTCAGGCACTCTCAGGCCATGGCAAGGCCGTCCGGTAGGCATCATCGCTGTCCATGTACATCCTGTGTCAATTTTGGTACGCCAGTGTTGGCTTCAGAGGAACAAGCCCAACTCGTGCAGCGGTCCGGGTTGGGCTGCTGAAAGGATCTGCACTGGAGCACCTAAGTCGAATAGACTTCGTCAAAATGGTTTCGCTGCAGTTCTTCATCGCCGAGGTTTCAGCGCTGCTGCCATGATCACAGACTCACTGACACAGCCCCAGAGCCTGCTGCATGAGAAGATTCTCTGGCAACTGTTCCAAGGTTCAGTTGCAGCGACCAGCTCGTTGCAACATCTTCCAAGTTCACGGCGAGCCGAACCAGATCAGACGGCACAAGCCTCTGCAAAAGAAATACAAAGCAGCGCAATTGGGGACAAGCAACATCTTGCTAAGTGCCCAGCTCTCGTCCAAGGGCAGTCCGTCCATGAAAAGGCCTGCAATGCAATGCAACAGTCCGGGTGTCTAATTCAGCTAGATTTGCAGAACTGCTTTCTAGACTGCTGATGTCTTGTACCAGCAGGCTCATGGGTCAGGGCGAGGGTCTTTTACGTGTTGTTCCATTTGCAAATCCATAAGCGGCGCGTTGTCATCTGGCATGATCAGGCGTTGGTGTATTGTAAAACTGAACAGACTGGCAATTGCTAGTTGCATATTATCACCGTGGCGCGTCGCAGGCGTCTTCAGCCGATCATTCGACGCACCTTTGAGATCTGCGGAGGTCTTTGCTCCACATAGACCCCCAACCACATTGGGGGAGGGAGGCCAAGCTCCCAAAGCCATAGGAAAATCAGCCATTGGAAGCTAGATGACGTCCCGCAAGCACAAGCAACAACAAGCCGCGCAAATTGGCAAATGTTGGAGAGCTGGTCCAATCGCAACAGCAAGAGGGTTAGAGTGAATCAGATGCTGTAGGATATGGCCTGACCGCAATGCCAGTAGGAGCTGGTAAGACTCGCGCGAGGTCAGTTTGAAACCAAAACACGTGACGAGCTGTCGAACAAGCCGAAGAAAAACGGTCTCCATGGTCTTAGGTTGCAACTGCATGTTCAACTGTCCTGCACGCTGTATGGTCCTACGTTTGTCCTGTCGGCGCAGACTTTGGCGCCGCATGGCTCAGCAACCGTCTGCGATTCAATCAAACCTGTGCCTTGCCGGGTGCAACTTTACAGGAGAAGCATGCAGCATGCTGGCAGAAGTTATGTTTTTGAGAGGCCCACTGCCCGTCTTTGAGTCGTGACCCTCTCCCATGCCAACGCTCGTGAAGGAGGCACCTTGCAGGGGGGGAAGTGCGCAAGGCATGCGAGGCTGGACATAACGGGGCTAAACGGCTTGGTGATCATGTCCTTCTATACATATTTCCTGCACCTCCCTCTCGCTTGGACAAGCAGTGGCGGCATCGGAGCCAGGGAGTGGCCTTGGACATAAACAAGCCAGCTGGGCTATCTGGGCTGCAATGCGTACTGCCAAAGATGTCCACTCTGGTTCGTTCTGCAGCCCCGCATACAAACAAGGCACGCCCTCGCAGCCTCGATCGTCGCTGCACAGCCCTTGGCCGCCAAAGACAAATGCACTTGCCCATTCTTTCTCAAGGCATGTTTAGATTGTTTAGTAACCACAGCAACAATGATTCGGGCCAGCTTCAGAAAAAGTTGGAGTGGGAGTTGGCTCCCCCGCTGCTTCTGGCTGCCTTGGGCTGCAAGATGTCTATGGCTTGCAGCTCTTGAGGTTCGGAAGATTCGGGTTCCACTGCGGGGGGGGTGTCATCTCTTGCCTACAAGCTATGGCAGTGAGGAGCTGAATGCTAACAAAGGCGCTCCCTGTGCTCCTCTTGTTGCGGCCGCTCCACCTTAGGCCTTTCGACTTGCTTTTCTGTTGGACGGGCCGGTACGGCCTGCGCTTGAGCTGCTTGCCTGTAGGACCGCATCGCTGGTGAGCGCAGCGCTTGCTGCTCTTGGGAGATTGGCCGGCAGGGTGCAGGGGAAATGGCCACTCGACGTGGGGTCACCAGGTGTGGGCTCGAAAAGCCGAGAGCCGAAACTTGGGGAAGCTGTGTATGAGAGGGCTGCCACTGGAAGGAGAAGGGTGTGGTGCGAGGTGTGTGTGGCAGCTGTCGCATGGGTGTCATCACCCGCGCATATTGCGCAGGGGGTGTAGGTGCAGGTGGTGCAGCGGCTGCAGGCGCTGGTGCCTGCCTGGGCGGCGACTGCCGCGAAGCACTCGCTTGCAAGGCCTCCAGGGAGTTTGCACATAAAAGAACAATAGTCCAAGTTTTGCAGAGTCCGTGCAGGTACGGCATGAAACTCCTTAGAGCATCCTGGAAACAGTCTATCTGGTCTAGCAATGACTTTCTCACCTGAGGCCAGCGAAGTCCAGATCCCATAGGCATAGGCTGCCAAACGAAAGGCACACTGGCGGCTGGCGTCGCCGCAGCAGTGCTTGGAGCGGCGCTTGGCGCATAGCTTGGCGCATAGCTTGGAGTGCTTGCAGAGCTTGGGGCGAAGCTCATTGGCAAAGGTGGTGCTCGAAGAAATGGCGGTGGCGACCTTTCCCGGACCTGCGGCGGCCCCGTCATGACCAGCCTGCACCACAGGTTTGTAGACACACTGTATCTGTATATGACTGTATATGGCATACCCGACATCATTACTACTGCGGTCCTCGGCGTTAGTATCGGAGACTGGTTCCGAGCGTGGCTTCCGTCCGATGGCGACAGTGTTCGCGGTGAGCGAGGTGAGGCGACTCGCTCCGGCGATGCCACGGCCCCCGACTGCATTGAGCCTGGCCGCCGTAGCGGCAGCTGTGGCACACGCTCCTGGCAGGTTGCGAATGTTGACCCACTGAGCTTCACGAACCGCGGAAAAGGTCAGCTCCTTCGACGCTGTTCCGGATACAATCGCCACCAGCCGCATCGATCCTGGGCTGGCCTGGTCAGGAAAACAAGCACTGCCCGGGGCATAGTAATAAAGAACAACAGAAAGCTTAAACTCAAACTCCGCAGTTGTCGAGCGGCAGGAACAGGATCAGCTCTTGACAAAGTCGCACCGGAAGTCGCCTCCCCGTGTCAGTGCCGATTGTAAACTAAGCTAGGGTCTGGCCTTGTGCGTACGCATACTAGCATTGTGAATGCACTTTACTTATGAGGGCTGAGGGTGATGATACCTGGTGTCATTCAACATGTCAGGGTAAACATCTGGCTCTCTAATTCCGAGAAGAGGTCTGATCCCAGATGAAGGACTGTTTCGCGTGCTACCTTTTCTCTCTCGTACGTGGATCACCCCCGCTTGCTCAAGCGAAATCCCTGCAACGCCTCAGCCAAGTGGGCCTGTGCTGTTCGGGGTTCCTGCCAGCTAGTGCTCGCTAATGCAAGGGAAGCTGTGCACCCTCCACACAAATGCTTCTCCTTCGCTACCCATTGAGTCTGCGTGCTGTCCGGATGGAGGACATCCTCCGGCTTGCCGCAAGCTGGCCTTGGTCGAGGTCTCAGGCGTTTTTGTATGTGTCTTCAGCTGCGACTTGAGGGACTGCTTTGAGATCAACCGCTTAGCTTAAACTGAAGCACCCCAGGTCCGCTTGGCCAGCCTGCCAGACAGCATGCTCTGGAAGCAGCAATCTCATGGATTGGGTGTTCAGGAGGAAGCTGTACAAGCAGCCTCGCTCACACCATCAGCCCGTTGCTTGTCCGCTGGGTCATCATGCACCACTACAGCTCCATCAACTCCTGTGCCAACAGGCATCTCAATAAGCAAACACGCTTGCCGGCTCGTTGCTTCATGCCAGTTCATTAGCTTCGGCACTTTAGAGAAGCGAAAGATACAGGCAACAGATTTCCCCGAACGCCATCGGCATGTCCTGTCGAGTGGGCAGCCACTGCCTTCCACAGGTCTGTGCTTGAAACATGATGCACTGCAGAGACGCAGAAAGCGAACGCCAATCATTTGCTTGCAGTTTCGTGCCTGCTCCTGCTGCGAGCCTTCCTGCCTGGTCCGCAGCGTTGCCAGCTCTGCTTCCCTCGCAGCCGCCACCCTTTCGGAGGCGCTACTCACTGCGCTGCCATGCGTAGGTTTGTTATCTGCCCGCATTGCAAGGTACAGTTTTTCTCCAAGGTCCAGAGATATACAGTGGTGTCTCCGAGCACCTAATTGTTGTAATCGCCCCTGCCAGGCAACACAGTGTTCCGCCTGGTGAGCTCCTCCAACTGGTGCTCCCAATGCTTCTGCGAAGCTGCCTGTCGGGTCACAAGGCCTGGACCTCGCCACCGCTCCCACAACTCTTTTTGGAATCTAAGCCTCTCTGCTTTGATCCAATCCAACATAATCCAACAGTTTAATGCAAAGACCTTTGCCTATATACGCCTACAGGGCTTGCATATGCTTGCATTCGAAAGAGCTGACTGACTATGTCAAACAGGTCAAGCCGCTTTACCTGGCCTGCTCAGATGCTGATTCGGTGAGCTCTGCCTGCAAGCTGCGAATCCTGATCAGCCGTGGAATGACGCGAGCCAACGTAGGACTTTGACTTCGAGCTCAGACCGCAGAAACGCACACTTCTGACGAGATTCTCCGACAGGCGCTCGTCCTCCCGTCGCTCTGCTGCCAACAACCTTTCCTGACAAAGACATGTTCCACGGAATGTCATGAGAGCTGGTGCTACTCGTTATGGGATTGTCAGCACAGCAAGCCNNTGAGCTGGGCCACTTCCTCGCGCTTGGCATGGCCACAGCATTCTTGCATGGAGGTGTCCAACATTACTGCTCCCAGTTTTACCTCTTGATACGCCGTTTCGCCAGCGTTGCACCAAACTTGCACGTGCAATACAAGATTATTGAACTCTGCTTTTGTGGGGGGGGGGGGGGGGNNTGGGTGATGCCTGAAAGTATATGTAGTGTGAGCAAATCGGTGTGATGGGTGATTTCAGTACAGTGTCGTGGCAAATCATGATTAACCGATCTGTTAAACAAGAATATGTTACTGCCAAGGACATTTGCAGGGCACGACGTGCCAAGGGGCTTGCAAAAGCCTTTCGCGCTGGTTCCTGCCTTGCGCGAATCATGCACGCGCCTTGACTTGCGACCCTCCAAGGTTCGCCTGTCAAACATTTGCCGTCACGCCAAGGCTGGCTTGATACAGTAGAGGAGCCTTGCTTGTATGCACGCGTAAATGAACCATACTGCCTACAACGGTCTTATGGCACGCCCAATGCTTTAAACTTGGATACCTTCCAGCGTTCATGTCGACCTTGCGCTTACACTCGCACGGTTTGCGCGCAGTCCTTCCATCTTTGGGTTTAGCAAGTGTAGCGCCACATACAAACGAAAGCATAGGTGCAGTACTGGACTGCATACTTCACACAAGGATCTATCCCCACAACGTGAAATAGCGGGTCCTTGTCCAAGCTCTGCTCAGCTTCCGGCGGCTGGCTGGATGCATCGAGCTGAGCCTGGAGGGCCTCCGCTGCGGCCGCTGCTGCGGGCTGCGAATCCATTGCAACCTCCACATCATCTGCTCTGAGGTTCAGGTCGACGGCCTGGAGCGAAGACAGCACTTCTGACTGCAGGGTAGCAAGCTCTTCGGTCAAAGCTTTTGAGATCTATTTCTTGCAGTTCGGTGTTTTTTTGTGCTTATCAACTCGCCTCTGCATCCGGTGCACATGCCTGGTCCCTGAGATTGGATTCTGCGGTTGCGCTTGCAGCTGCGGCGTCAGTGCTTGCTGTCTCGCGGTCCACAAGGCAAGCGGCATCTGCCTGCGGCAAAAGACAGCCAAAACAAACGAGCATGTCTGACTCATCATCCTTGTTACAACTGCGAAGCTCCGTGCCTACGCCGAATGCCGAACACCCCTCCCATTTGCCATGACCCCCGCATCCTTTGCCTCTGCTGCCGTTAGCAGCAGCTCGGCAGCCATTTCTGGGGATGACAACGCCGCAGCTTTGTCGCAAGCGTCTGCGGTGCTCATCAGGCGCTCATCTTCCTCCTGTGCAACCGAGACATCTGGTCCTCCTCGCCCTACTGCCGATACATGGCATGGTCCCTGTAAAAGTGCCACCAGTCTCTGGGACGATGGATGTCGGAGTCTTGATCACTGTCCTCGTTTCTGAGGCTTGCCTTTCTAGTTCTCAATTCTGAAGTGCTTAAGCTGCTGAAGTCTTATGTGCTTGTGTATGGAAACAGTTGGACGGCGACTCCACTCATGCCTCAGTGTGAAGAGAAAGAAAACCACACGTACCATAGCGTGGGAGAGAGTGTGAGAGTGGCTTCAGTCATTGCTCACGCATCTCTGGTGCTAAGGCTAGGCTCCATATTATGTGGGCCACGATTTCGATGATGAAAACAGAATCGAAGTAGGACAATGACAGAAGACAGCTATGTTGATATCATGTTGGGCTTCGATCAGTAAAGACGAAGATTCCGCGAACCGTCTCCCCGACGGAATAGTCGCAGCGGCACGGAATACAGCGGTTGGGCCGAAAACGAAACTTAACTGCGGCCAGCTTTACAGCAGTTACGGGAGAGCACCCAACCTCCCCACAACTTTTCTGCGGACGAGTTGCGCACCCCGTAATGTGCCCCGACTTATGTGGGGGGGGGGGGGGTTTTACTCAGCACCCCCTTTCAAGCCTTTATGTTCACGATTCATTTGAGCATTAGACTGGCCATGATGGCGATATATGAAGATGATGATAACGATGATCACCACCATGGCGAATGATGTTGATGCCGATGAGGGCGATTCCAAGACCTATATTGGACCTATATCATGAAATTGGTGTCGTTGGTGGTCCCGGAAAGGGTGGGTCTCTGGCACCCCACTCCTCAATTTGATCTGGACCCGCCGGCAGGCCGTGTCCAAGGGCCTGGAACGCTTATGAGCATGGCCGATCATGTCAAGGAAGGGTATGCCATGATCCAGGGGGTCTGGAACGAAGTTCCAGTCCAAACACAAAGATAAACTCCGATGTCGTCACATCAGTTCACCCCCCGCCCCTCCCACAGTCCCCCCCTCCTGAGCTATTTAGAAATCCCTTTTTCTCATTATGCCCTTGATGTGTTGCTTTCCAAATGTCGTCACTTGCTGCTTCTGGAGCACCACTCGACTCAAGTCGTTTTTCCTCAAGCTGTTGTGGCGTGCACTTGCATCTTGGGCTTATCCACAGGGATTGTCAAAGTGCCCGTCCCACTTGGCAGCTCCTGGGGCGTCGTGCCGAGCTCCAGCAATCTCTCCTGGACAAGCGCG